CCGGGGGGGTGGCGGGGGTGCAGGCAGAGGAGGCGAGCAATGTCCCGGCCCGCCTGCTGTCTAACCTCATGCCCCCCTGCTGTGCACCTCCCTCCTGCTGCGCGCTTGCCCCCCCAACACACACCTGGAAGCCGAAGCTGCTCATCGACTTCTGCAGCTCCTCCTTCACGGCCCGCGCAATGTCCTCCTTGGCTGCAGGGGGAGCAGCCCCACACAGCATATGAAGGAAGCACACACACCAGCATCCGGCGGCGCAGGGGCGTGGAAATGTGGGGACACCAAACGATAGGGGGGTGCCAGGGCAACGTGGGCGTAAGGTAGCTGGCTGGGCAACCCTGCCCACCGGCGGGCCAAGAGGCCGCCGCCTGCCAGCCCCAGCCAGTAGCCCTGCTCCCCAGCCGACCAGCCCGGGCCGCGGGCCCACCAGCCCACCTGTGAATACGTCATCCAGCCCCATGCGCGGCACGGTGGCGCGGACCTGGCAACAGCGAGCCAGGCGGCAGGGGGCGGGCGGCAAGGCTCGTGTGCACCCCCAACACCTGATGGCGAGCCCCAACAACAGCAAGCAGCAGCAGCAGCGGCAGCAGCAGCGCCGCCGCTGCCGCCACCAGCCCCCTCCTCCTCACCTCGTCAAAGACGTAGGAGGTGATCTGGCTGCGCGAGTCGGTCAGCTTGTAGAAGGCATCGTACAGGCTCTCGCGCACCACCTGGGGCGGCAGGCGCGGGCAGGGGCAGGCGGGGCGGCGGCGTGGGCCGCTGGCGAATCCGTGGCGGCTGCCGGGGGCTGAAGGCGGTGGGATTGCGTGCGCGGCTCGGCTCTGGCGGGCATCGGTATGTACCGATACCGCGCTGGAAGCTATGCTGGCCCCCGTGAACACCTCGCCACACCCACAGCCCCGCACACCCACAGCCATGTGGCATAGGTGCACCCACCTGGTACTGCACAGACACCACCACATCCACAAACACGTTGTCTTTGGTCTTGGTCTCACACCTGTGGGTGCGCGCGCAGCAGCGCAGCGAGGCGGGCCATATGTGAGAGGCTTTGCGGAGCAAGCAAGCACCCAGCCCGGCGGCGAGGCTGGGCGGGGCATGCCCCCAGCCCCACCTGACATCCAACTGCTGGATACGCAGGCTCAGCCCGCCGGCCACGCGCTCGCCGATGCAGCACCAGATGGTGTTGAAGCCTGGGTAGGCAATCCTGCGTGGAGACAGGTCCAGCAGTAAGGTAGTGGGAGGTGGGTGCTGGTTGGCAGGGGGGAAGTGCTGCGCTGTTTCTCTCTGTTTTTACCTGGAGAACTTGCCAAACTGCTCGATGACCTCAATGGACGACTGATCTGCACGGCGGGGAGTTGAAAGGGGAGTGCAGCGGCGTGCCGGTGGGCGGGCGCCACTGGACTCGGTGCCTCCTGCCGCCACGGCGGCTGGCGGGCCCCGCCTCACGCCACCACTTGTTTTGCCCACACAACCATTTCAGCCCTCCACACGGTGCCCCGGCGCATTCTCACCCACACAAGTGCAGCACAGGTTGCCCATCGCGCGATCGTTGGGGGGCTGGGGCTGGCGACCTGGCCGGCGGGGCGCTGAGTATGTGGTGGAGGAGGTGGTGGGCGCTGTGAGTGGTGGAACAGGGCGGCAGGCTTCGGGACTTGAAGGGCCGACACTGCTGGCATCGCCACGCGGCAAAGTGCCCGTGCAAGGGGGACTATGGCCTGCTGCAGCAGCAGCAGCAGCTTGCATTGCAGCGATTCAGCGCTCTGCCTGGATGCGCACTGCAATAGCTACAAGCCGGGCGGCTGCCCCCTGGTGGGGCTCAGGCAGGCATGGCAGTGTGGGCGCTGCAGTGGAGGCGGCCTGGACTGCTAGATTGTGCAGCACCAGAAGAAGGAGCTGCAGCAGCAGCAGTGGCAGTGCAGAACATGCTCCGCCGCCGCCGCCGCCGCTGGCCAATAAGCCGCCGCCGCCACCCAGCAGCGCCGTCGCCAGCAGCACGCAGCAGCAGCAGCGGGCTCAACCGCCACTCCCGCTGCCACCACCCCACAGCCCTTATGAGGTTCTTCTGGAGGGGAAGCGCTTTGTGTGCACAGAGTGCGGCAAGTGCTGCCAGGGCAGCGGCGAGGTGTGGGCCAACGACAAGGAGTGCGCCGCCATGGCCAGGCACCTGGGGCTGCAGCAGAGCGACTTCCTGGCCCGCTACACCAAGGCCTACAGCAAGCGGCCCGGCTGGCGCATGCTCAAGCTGCAGCCCGCCACCGGCGACTGCGTCTTCCTGGCCGGCGGCACCAAGTGCTCCATCTATCCTGTGAGGCCGATGCAGTGCAGGTGCGCGCTCCCGCCCGGGCCTGCATGTCGCGGGTACCGCGTGCACCCTGCCAGCCTCGCTGGAGTGTGCTGTGCCTGGCAGCCGCTGCCGCACGTTGTGAGGGGCCCCCGCTCCACCTGCCGTGCAGCACATACCCCTGGTGGCCCGAGCTGATGGACCCAGGCAAGCAGGCATGCTGCTGGTGGCCGGCAGGCGCAGCGCCAGCGCCAGTTTGACCGCCGGGTCTGGTGCAGGTGGCTGGCAGGCATCGCCGCCACATGCCTCGCACGCCTCCCTGAGCGAGTGCCGCCCATTGCCCGCCTGGCCGCACCCCCCCTTGTGTGCAGCGGCGTGGGTGGGCGAGGGACGGGCTGTGTGCGAGGGCATCGAGCACGAGGAGGCGCCGCTGGTGGACGCACAGGACAAGGCGGGCGTGCTGCGGGCAGCCACCGACTACTTTGCAGACCAGCAGGCGGCGGCAGAGGCGGGGCGGCGGGGACGGCGGCGGCAGCCGTGAGCAGAGGGCAGCAGACCGAGAGCAAGCCCGCCAGGCACAACCCTGCAGCCAGGCGCCATCATCTCCCCTTTGGTTGCTGATGATTGGGTTACATTGGGGGTGGTGCAACAAGCGACAATCAAAAGGCGGCAGTGCGCTCATTCCGTCTCCGTTCCCACCTGTTAATATGCGGCAGCTGCTGCACGGGAGAGGCAGAGGGCAGCAGGGGAGAGGATCTAGAGGAAAGAAATGGAAGGGAGGAAGAATAAAGTGGCAGAAGGGGAAGAGCTATGGGCGCCGATGTGGCGAGTGGCCGCCGGGCCTGCCGCTGCGGCAGTGCGGCCCGCCTCCTTGCGCAGGGCGCGGAGGAAGGCAGGGACGCCGCAGATGCAGCAGGCTGAGGGCATCGGTGTAGGCCCACATCTGTTGCAGACGACCAAGCAGCACGAGGGTGCAGCCTCCGCTCAGTACCTGCACCAAGGCGGCGGCAGTGTGAGCGTTTTAGTCCAAGGCAATTCAACCCTGGATCAAAGGAACACGTGCCACAATGAAGCAAAAACAAAAACAGATGAAGAGCATCGGCGGAACTGTTAGCAACCTGTAGTGCGGCGGCTTGTACGGGCCCTCGATGGGCACGTTGATGTAGGTGGCCTGGTCGGGGGTCAGCTTGGTGAGCTTGGCCCCCAGCTTGTTGAGGTGCAGCGCGGCGACCTGCAGGCAGAGGGGTTGCAATGCCGTACAGACTGAGACTTTGGGCGCCACCGGTGGCCAGGCAAACATGTCGCTCTCTTGCTGCCAGCCACACCCTAGAGCCCCACCTTCTCGTCCAGGTGCTTGGGCAGCACATACACCTTCTTCTCGTACTTGCCGCTGGCCCGCTCGTTCCACAGCTCCAGCTGCGCGATGACCTGCGGGGGCGCGGCGGGGGGGGCGGCCCAGGGGCGGGTCGAGAGAGGGCTACAGCACTGCATCTGGCGTGCGGTGCGCTGGGCATGAGCAATGGCTACACGTCAAACCTGTGCGCCCCTTCTTTCCCACCCCAACCCACCCCACCACCACCACCTCCTCCCTACCTGGTTGGTGAAGGAGCAGGACATGACGAAGGAGGGGTGGCCGGTGGCGCAGCCCAGGTTGAGCAGGCGCCCCTCGGCCAGCACGATGACGCCGTGGCCGTCGGGGAAGATGAAGCGGTCCACCTGGGGCTTGATGTTCTGGCGCTTCATGCCGGGGATGGCCATCAGGCCGGCCATGTCGATCTCGTTGTCGAAGTGCCCGATGTTGCCCACAATCGCGTTGTTCTTCATCTTGGCCATGTCGCTGGCCTGCATAGTGGCGGGGTAGAAAAACGCCAACAAAACAATTGTTATTAGCTTTGCGGGATCGAGCCTACGCGGGAGGACGCGCGTGAACCGAGTACTGTGCCAGTGGGGCACCGTGCCGTGCCAGCTCCCTGTGTGTGGCTCTGAATCAGTTCGTGCGTGCGATGCAAACGTCTGCTGCGGCGCTGGGCGAAGGCCGGCCTCGCGCAAGCGTGCTCACCATGATGATGTCCTTGTTGCCGGTGGTGGTGATGAAGATGTCGGCGGTGGACACCACGTCGTCCATGGGGGCCACCTGGTACCCCTCCATGGCGGCCTGGGTAGGAGAGCGGGTGGGGAGGAGGAGGGGCGTGGCGGGTGGGCGGTGACAGGACAGGCAGGCAGAGACGGCGAGGCGATGGCCGCTGCTAGCTCCCGCTGCCGCCCTTTTCCGGCCACGCACGCCCCCGCTGCCAGCCCTGCGAGCCGCCCCCCACCCCCCAAAGCAGCCCCCACCACCACCGCCAAGCAGCCCGCCCACACCTGCAGCGCGCAGATGGGGTCGATCTCCGACACGATGGTGCGCGCGCCGGCGGCCTTCATGGCGGACGCGCAGCCCTTGCCCACATCGCCGTAGCCGGCGATGAAGGCGGTCTTGCCCGCAAGCATGACGTCTGCGCGGCGGCGGCGGTGGGGAGGAGGGAGGGGAGCGGGCGAGGCAAGGGCTGAGGCTGAGGCTTGGGGGGAGCTCATTTCAGGGCTGCAGCACCACCACACTGCTCCCAAACGCCCCCGACCTTCTGCCCCCGCGCTGCCGCCTGCTGCGGCCCGCAGGCGGCGCCCAGCCCACCGGTGGCGCGCATGATGCCGTCGGGCAGCGAGTGGCGGCAGCCGTACACGTTGTCAAACTTGGACTTGGTGACCGAGTCGTTGACGTTGATGGCGGGGAAGAGCAGGGTGCCCGAGGCGGTCATCTCGTACAGCCGCTTCACGCCCGTTGTCGTCTCCTCGCTCACGCCCACCAGCTTGGCGGCCATCTTGCGCCACCTGGCGGGGCAGCGGGGGGGAGGCGGTGCGGCTGGTCAGGCGGGCGAGCGCTTGCGGGGGGCGGCGGGGGGCAGGCGGCAAGGGGCGCCCGCAGCGCTGCCGCCTCGCCTCGATGCCCATGCCCATGCGCCGCGCCGCTGCAGCACTGATGGCGGAGCCCGCACCCTCAGCCAGGCAGCCAGCCCGGGCCCCGGCCCCGCCGCTCACTTCTTGGGGTCCTTCTCCAGGCCGTCGCGGATGATGCGCAGCACAATCTGGAACTCGGGGTTGTCGGTGGAGGCGGGGTCGGGCTTGGAGCCGTCCTTCTCAAACGCCTCCTCAGCCTTCACGCCCTCTGCACACCACACACGCCAAGGCGGGGACGGCAGGCAGGCAGGTTGAGCACCAAGGGGGAGAGCAAGGAGAGAGGGGCGGCTGGGGTTGCGCGCAGGCCAGTGCTCCAACCAGGTCAATGGCGGCAACAACCCTCCAGCGCTGCCCGGCAGCTGCACTGAGCTGGGGCGGCCGCCAGGGCCGCCAGGGATGGCAGCAAGCGCCGGGAGGCGGCTGCGGCAGGCACGGGGCGCCGAGCGCACCGTGGATGAGCAGAGTGGCGTCGCCGCCGTCGTCCACCAGCAGGTCAGCGCCGTCGCTGCCGGGCCAGCTCAGGGCCTGCACACAAATGGGTGGGAGCGGCACATCAGGGGCAGGCACACGGCGGTGGTGGCACGCTTGCACGATGCACACGCTCGCACGCAGCCGGCAGGCCCTGCCATGCCCCATCCCCTGGCGGCCTGCCCGGCGCCGGAAAGCCTGCCCCGTCTGCCCCGCCCTGGCCCCCGCCCACCTGCTCGGTGCACCACCAGTACTCCTCCAGCGTCTCGCCCTTCCAGGCGAAGCAGGCGGCGGAGTCGCGCGCCACGGCGGCGGCGGCGTGGTCCTGCGTGGAGAAGATATTGCAGGAGCACCAGCGCACCTCCGCGCCCAGCGCGGTCAGCGTCTCGATCAGCACCGCGGTCTGGATGGTCATGTGCAGGGAGCCGGCAATCTTGGCGCCTGCGAGGGCGGCGGATGGGGGCACGGCCCGCATGGACGAGGCGGTGTAAGCGGAATCAGCTGGGCAACGGACCCGTGCATCTCTTCATCTGTCCCCAGCTCATAGATGGATAGAAAAGATGGAGATGATGCAGGCACGCGGGCTGGCAGGGCAGGGGCATGTGCTGGGCGGCAGCGAGGCGCGCGCACCCTTGAAGGGCTGCTTGGCTCCAAACTCGGCGCGGCAGGCCATCAGGCCGGGCATCTCCGCCTCCGCCATCTCGATCTCGAGGCGGCCGAAGTCGGCCTGGCTCATGTCCTTGACCTTGTACTGCAGCGATGGGAGAGGGGAGGCGGGCAGGCGGTGAGCAGCTGCAGGCAGCAGCGGCGGCAGGCGGCAGCGGCGGCGCCACAGGCTGTTGAGGCCAGCGGCCCCGCCGGGCAATCCCGCAGGACCGCAGTGTTATGCAGGGCTGGTTGAGGCCTTCAAGTCCGTGCCAATGTTCGCCCATCAGGTTCGGCAGCTGCATCTGAAGCCCAGAGCCACTGATCGCCGCTGCTGTGCCCCGCATTGGCTGCACCTGCCCGACTGCACATCGAGGAGCGCGCTGTTCGAAGGCCCCCCGCGCCCCGCCCAACATGCAGCAGCGCCAATCACCTCGCGCCCACTGGCGCTCTTCTCAACCACGGTCATGGTGCTGGCAGCCATCTTGCCTGATCCTCACAGTGGTGCTGGAGGAGTGAAAGAGGCAGAGGGCGGCCAATGACGGCGCATGAACACGCCGGCTGCCTGGGTCGCCTTGGTCGCCGCCGCATTTTGGGCGAGGGCCGCGGCCCCTGGCGGTGATCAGGCGTGCGGGGGGCGGCACATGCATGTCTCAGGAGGCGGGCAGGCTGCGCTGGGCGGTGCAGGTGGAGGCCTGGAGCCCCGGGCACGCCGAGTTTGAACTCCTGCTCTCCCTGCTGCCCGAGGCGGAGCGCTGCGCGTGCACCCGGTTCCGCCAGGCCCAGGACCGCAAGCGGGCGCTGGTCAGCCGCCTGCTGCAGCGGGCGGCGGCGGCCGCCGCCTTGGGCCTGCGGCATGGCGGCGCGCTCTCCGTGCAGCGCACGCGCGGCAACAAGCCCTACGTGGCCGGCGCGCACAGGCCGTCGCATGCACCCAACTGGAACTACAGCGTGTCGCACGAGGTGCGCCAGGCAGCGGGGGGTACCCGGCTGCACCCGCTGGCGGTGCCCATGCCGTGGACATGCTGCCGTTTGACCACCTGCCCTGGCTTGACCTGTGGCCTCGACCTGCCCCCCACACCCTGCAGGGCGACTACGTGATCCTCGCAGCCGAGCCGGTGTGCGTGTGCGGCTGCGACGTGGCAGCGCCGCTGACGGTGCGGCGTGCCGGAGGAGCCGCCGGCAAGGAGCAGCCGCTGGCCGAGTTCTTCCGCAGCTTTGAGAAGCAGCTGACGGCGGCAGAGTGGGCCAGCGTGCGGGCAGCGGGGGAGGACGGTGCGTCTCAGGAGGCTCAGTTTAGGTGGGCTGCAGCTGCTGGTACCCGCAGGGATGCTGTGGAGCAGTGGAGGGCAGGTGGGAGGCAAAGGCAGGCAGACACAGGGTGCCGTGCCTGGAGCCCAGCCCCCCCAGGCCCTGCCCCTGCCGCCTGCAGGAAGTTTTGGAGCCTGAAGGAGGCGTTTGTGAAGGCCACGGGGGAGGGGCTGGGCTTCGAGCTGGGGAACACAGAGTTCGCCATCAGCGGCGGCACAGGTGTGCTGGATGGCTTCCTTTTCGTGCGCTGCCCACACTTACTCCTGCTCTGGGCAGCCCACCAGACCAGCCCAGCACATGAAGGGGTGGCCAGCCTGCAGGACCAGGCCTTGTTGTGTATGGGCCAGCTCTCACTGCTGGTGCCGCTCTGCCCCTCGGCGCTGCTGCTGCAGCCACGGTGAGCGTGCGGGGCGTGCCGCAGCCCGACTGGGCCTTCTGCCTGCACGAGCTGGGCAACGGCCACTGGGCGGCAGTGGCGCGGGCGCCGGTCACAGCCGTGGTGGATGCTTGGGGGGTGCGTGCCACCCGCCGCCTGCTGCATGCTGGGCCCTGCCCTGCATGTCGCTGGCAGGCCCGCACGTCTGTGCTTGCCTCTAGGGGCTGGTGGTTGGGCCACAGTTGGGCCCCTGTTGCTGGCCCTGTATCTTGCTGGCCCTGATTGAAACATCATCTCTGCACCCGGCCCGTGTGCAGGCCTTCAAGGCCACTTTCCAGAAGACATCGTTTGCGCCCGGGGAGTGGCAGGCGCAGCTGGCGGCCGCCGAGCCGCCCTTTGTCATGGTGACTGTGGCTGACCTGGTGCCGCCGGAGCACCGGGCGGCGTACGAAGAAGCCGGGGGCGAGCTGTACTGATGTCACGTCAGTGTGATGCTGCCCACGGCGGCGGCGACCAGGGAGGCGCAGGCTGCCGAACACCCGACACCCGTGTGCTGCAAGCCCAGGCTGGCTGCCCCACTATTTGCAATCTGAATCACGCTCGTTGAGTTCCAAGCTCGTGCTCAATTATGCAATTATTGAACTGAAAAACAGAATTTGTGAAAAGAATTGGAGAAGAACAAGGTACATGGGGATGCGCCAGTGCAGGGCGAAGTCAACATGAATAGAGACCATTGTTGGGAGGTGAGAGCACGCGAGACTGTGGAAAGGATTACCAGTGTAGGACAGTGCTTTTGGGCGAGTGTTAGCTTCAGGCATCGAGCTGCACGACTTGCAGCTGCATGGCGAGGCGGCCGCCGCACCGCGTGCGCAGCGCAAAGGCGGTGAAGGCGGCTGCCGACGTGGCCACCACGCAGCAGGACCCCGCCATCAGGTACACAAAACTGTCGGTGGCGGGCACCAGGACGCCCGCCAGGTAGGCCAGCATCTGCAAGGCAGGCAGGCGGCGGCAGGACACCAGCAGGGCAATCGACGGCAGTTCATGGTGGACAGGGATGATTCCCACAGAGGGAGCACCCAACAGTGCACCCGCCACCCAGCACCACCAGCCCCCACATGCACACCCGCTGGCATGCCCACCCAGCCTCCTCACCTGGCACAGCGACTGCATGCTGCCCTGCACCCCGCTGACTGCCCCCAGCGAGGATGAACCCACAGACTCCTGAATGAGCTGGTTCACAGCCAGGTCGAAGCTCCACAGCCCAAAGCGGGAGAGCACCAGGCCCCACACCACCGCATACAGGCGGGCTGAGGTGCCCACCGCCGCGCCCGCCGCCGCCGCCACCGAGGGCAGCGTGGCCCCCGCCACGCAGGCCAGCTGCAGCCAGATGGACAGGCCGCCGGTGGCGACCAGGCCCAGCGCGCGGTGCAGCGGCGGGAAGGTGAGGGTGGCCAGGATGCCGCTCACGGCGCCCAGGCTGCAGGAGGAGGGAGGGCAGGTGGCGGACAGCTGGGCCTCCATCACTTCCCATACACAACACACACCCCAACGCCGCCAGCTGGCAGCCGTGTGTGCTCCTGCTGCCGCCCTCACCCGCGGTACACCGCCAGCTCAGCCTCGGGCAGGCCCAGCGCCTTGAGGTACGCCGTCATCAGCGTGCCCCAGGACAGCACCGTCAGGTACAGGAGCGCCAGCGCCGCCGCCGCCGCCGCCGTCGGCTGCCGCGCGTAGAGCGCCCAGGCCTGGGCCTGCTGCCGCAGCGGCCGCGCCAGCCGGTGCCACCTGCCGTCGCCGTCCCCAGGCACACCACCAGCACCAGCACCAGCACCGGCATCTATGTCGCCACCTCTGCTGTCGGCGCTGGGCTTGCTGTCGGCGGCCAGGGCGGGGCTGCACCGCTGCGCGTAGCGCAGCAGGGCCACCTCTGGCAGCCAGCTGGCCAGGTTCCACGCCAGCAGCGCCAGGGTGGCGGCCACCATGGGGCGCCCGCCGCCGTGCTGCATCACCAGGCCCACCTGCAACACCAGGACAGCAGGCAGGGACCGGCTGGCATCGCAAGCAGAGAGGGTAGAGGCGGGAACGAGTGATCAAAAGCCAGGCCGAGACGGCAGCAGGAGGGGAGCCAGGGAAACAATTGAAGGGTGTTTGGGCAGGTGTGGCTGGGGAGCGAACAGCCCTGCAGAGTTGCAGCTGCATGGAGCGTGGCTGGGTGCGTGCCAGAGGGCCGGGTGGGGGAGGCAGCGCACCAGGATAGGGGAGGCGATGAGGCAGGTCAGGTCGATGCGCTTCATGGCGGCGTTGAGCGAGGCCAGCGCGGCGCTGTCGCCGCCGCACAGCGCCCGGGTCCACTCCCGCTCCACTGCGGGGCGGGGAGCAGAGCGGGCAAGAGCAGGCGAGGGCGGGGTGAGGCAGGGCAGGGCGGCGGAGAAGCAGTGTCAAAAAAGTTGCTCCAAGGCATCCTGCTGCTTTATGTTTGAGCAGCACGATGGTTGCTGCAAGAGGGTCGATCACCGCCAGCTGACCGAGAGACGGCAGCCGCGGCGCTTGCTGCCCACCCGACAGCGTGCTGCCCAACGCTCCCAGCGTGCTGACCGCGCCCGCGCCCATCGTCAGCGCCCGTCCCGCCCAGAACGCCGCCCCAGCTCGCGCGTCGCTGGCCAACAGGCCCAGCGCCGCAGCCGCGCTCAGCGCCAGCATGCCGTTCTGCAGCAGGTACATGCGGCTGGCGGCTGCCAGGCGGGGCAGGCCGTCCACGTAGCGCCCGACCGCCGTGCCGGCCACCACAGACAGTGCCGCATCCAGCAGGCCCCACACCGCCACCAGCAGCAGCGAGGAGGGGTGCAGCTCAAGCATGACGAGCCCAACGGCAAACTCCCAGCCGCGCTGGCCCCAGGTGGACAGGAAGTGCGAGGCCTGCGCGCCACAGGACAGGGCGGCCAGGGCGGCGTGGGCGGGCAGCAGGTGGTGGCGGCACCAACCACGGGCTGGCGGCGGGTGGCGGCTGCAGGCCGCGAAGGCTTGGCGCTGGTCGCCCAGCATCCACCCATGCCCAAAGAGGTCCGAGGAGCCGTTCACAGGGGTTTGCTGCCTCCTGCCCGCTTGCACACCTGCAGTGCCCGAGATGCCGGGACATGACCTGTCTTCTCGACAGCGGGCACCTCCGTTTCCAGAGTCTCCCTGGTGCTCCGCGAGAGCAGTCCCACCTCCTCCCCGTTCATTGCCCCCTCTGGCTCCGCCATGTTCTGTGTTAATTAGTCAGCATATCTGGGATACATGTTCTGTTGATCGCGTTCACCAAAAATGCGGACAAATGGGAAATGCCTTGCCAGCCGGCAGCGGCGGGACAGCGGAACAGCTGGGCACGACGCTCCGCGGCCCCAGTAACTCCCGCCGCTGCCGCCATGCCACCTTCCTGTGGATGCTGGGTCTCATTGCTGCTGGCACTGCAGGCAGGTGCCTGAGCTGGGCCGCTAGGTAGTTACGGCAAAGGAGGCTGCACTTGCCGCTTCGCCGCCACCCTGGGCCTGTCCCTTGCACCCCATACCAGAGATTTTAGCTCCCTCGCACCCTGTCCTAACAGCGCTGCTTGCTTGTTTCTTAATTAAGAGGACGGGCCTCTGTGTTTCCAGCGATAGCTTCCCGCCCGCACCTGCAGAGAAGCTGCTAGTCAGTACCCCCATTTAATCATTGTCGGTGATTTGTTCTGTATATTCTTCGTGCGCACCTCATCGTTGTGTCGGTGGAAGGTCTCCCACTCGCGGTGCAGCAGCGGCGCCTTCCTTCAGCCAATCACGCAGAGATGAGCCGCCTGTCGGGACTCGCGCTCGCTGCGGCCCTGCTCTGCATCCTCACTAGAGGTGCGCGAGCCTGCGCAAGGCACACTGCAGCTACTTGCACGGCTGGGCGCCATGGGCGCCACCCCGCCGCCATCCTGCCAGTGGGCGCTACAGTGCCGTTCCGAACGTCTGCCGCCTTAAGTCCAGCTGCAGCAGCACCGGCCTGCTGCCCCGCTGCAGGCGCTTCCGCCAAGTGCAACGATGGCGAGGACGGCTGCTTCATCTGCGCCACCGAGTCAAAGTGAGCCTGCCGCCGGTGCTCGGTTGTGCGCGCTTGCATCGCCTGCCCTGCTGCTCCCAAGCTGACCTGCTCCCCTCGCACCTGTCCACAGGTGCAAGAAGTGCTTTCCGGGATATGCCATCGCTGGATTCATGGGCTCTGCAGGCTACTGTGTGGAATGTACCGATCATTGTGCCGGTGCGCATTTCCGCAGCCTCAACCGCCGCTGTGCCACACGGGCGGCCCATCTTTCAGCACCTCCGCTCCTGCCGCTGTGCCATGCCTGGCACACATCCCCGGCGGGTGCCCCCGTGCATGTCTGGCACGGAGCTGCCGCGCCCTGCACCACCCTGCTCCGCAGTGTGCGACTACCGCCGCCCCTGGATCTGCAAGCTGTGCAAGACCAACTTCTGGAGAACGAATGCCAAGACCTGCGCGCCCTGTCCGTCAAAGTGCAAGGTCTGTGGCAACGTCCTGGGCAAGCCATACTGTACCAAGTGCGCGCCGGGGCACATGGCGATGAGAGGGAAGTGCGTCAGGCGCATCTCGCTGCCCTGCCCCACCAGCCCCCAGTGGGATGCCGAGAAGCTGGGGTGGACCAACGTGTGGGGCACCAACAGCGCAGGAAAATGCGTGAAGGTGAGCGGCAGTGGGTGTGAGCATTGCACTTGGCGGCTGGCATGGCCAGGCGCCTGCCTCTTAATCACGCGGGTGTGCTCATTGCTCCCCTGTCCTTGTCCTTGTAGTGTGTTGCTGGAGGCAACTTCAGCAGGTACTGTAAATCATGCAATGGAAACGCGCCCACGGTGTGCACCGCCTGCGCCGACCACAACGGCGCAGCGATGTACATCGATGGTGCAGGCAACTGCCAGTCTGTAAGTTGTGCCGCCGCTGGCTGCCCACCATTGGTCGGGACCAGCAGCCCCAGGCCACACCGCCACCTCACACTCCCGCATTCCTGCCTGCCTTGCCGCAGTGTGGTTCGCTGCAACCAGGATGCACGCACTGCGTCAATAAGAGTGGCAAGTGTATCAGGTGCGGCCCCAACTTCACGCTCCAGAACGGGCAATGCATTGCGAATTGACGAGCGTTGCCTCCAGTCTTCAGTGAAGCGTGGTTCGGCGCTGCTGCACGCTTGGCGATTTGAACAGAACCACGTGCCGCCGAGCTGCGGCCGCAGTTTCCGGCCCACGGTCTACGGTCGCAGCCACGGGACTCGGCGGCACGGCGTTTGGGCCCAAGCTTGCTGCCGCCGCCGCCGTGCCCGGGGGGCAGCGCGGCGGCGGCGGGGGCACGCTGCGACGCCCCCGTGCTGCCGAGTTGCGGCCGTAGTTTCCTGCCAGAAGCCCACGGCCACAGCCACGGGACTCGGCGGCACGGCGTTTCGGTCCACGGCTTGCTGCCGCCGCCGTCGCAGGGGTGCTGCCTGCGGCGGCGGCGGCACGGCGTTTGGTCCTCAGACTTGCTGCCGCTGCCGCCGCCGCAGGAGGTGCTGCCTGCAGACGAGCGGCGAGCAGCGCACGTGGCAACCCCCCGCGTTTCCTTGCCTCCCATCCACCGAGACCCCGTCCTGCGCTTCACTTTGTTTAGAGGAGGGGCTGCTCACTGCTCATTGCTCATTGCTCATCGCACACTGCTCAACGCTCATTGCCCTATATCCCACCCAGCCGCAGGACTCTACTGCCGCCCGCGCCCCGCCCCATCTGGCCGCTTGCGCGCCCCATCCCCCCTCGATGGGGCCCGCCCACACCGGGGCCTCCCCCCTCCCGACCACTGCTTTCTCAACGGCCCCGAGCCGGGGCTGCCCTCATTGCATACATAGTGCGCCTTTCCCTGCTTTTCTAGTGACCTAGCGTTCCGCACTGCCGTTTGGCCAGCCCATGCTCCCGTACCGTTGCGTTTCTCCCCAATGCGCCATGCCACTTTGCCAGTCATACACACGTTTCGATGCGTGCCCTGTCAGCTGCTTGCGTTGCATGTCGCCTTGCTCCACCCCTGTTTTATTGCTTTCTCTGCTTTCGCCCGGTTCTCGTCCCGTTTCGGCGGGGAGTCTATGTTGCAAGCTAGTTCTTGCTTTACCAGACTTTAAGCCCACACAAGCTTCAGTCCTGTTGAGAGAGACTTCATCGCATCTTCTACTTGTTCCAATCTACTTGTAAAGGCAGCATATCGAAATCTGAGGAAAGGAGCAGTCTGCCGTCCCATCACACAGTGGCCCTTGTCACACGGCGGTCAAAGCAGCAGAGGCGGCGGCGAGACGCGAGGCGCAGTGCAGTGGGTGGCTGGCTTGGATGATTTTCTTGGCTGACAAAGCTGCTATGCGAAGTAGAAGAAGGGCTCAAATTCGGTCAATTATTGAGGTTTCCAGTTGGGCGCCGGCGCCTGTCCAGTTGGCACGCCCGACAGGACACAAATTGCTTTGCCGGGCTGATCGTCGCCCAGATTGGCAGATCCTCTTTACATCGGGCTTCTCACAGCCCCGCAGGAGCGCCAGCAGCCTACTTGGGACGCAGTGCCGGCAAGCGCATACTTCCCCTCCTCTAGCTAATCTCCATTCAGGTCTGTTTGCTGCGACCCAAGGTTGCTGTGTGAAATCTAGGGGCCAAAACACAGAGCTTGAATCCAGGGGCTGGGCGTGAGTGCCTGCTTAGTGAAAGGTGCTACCGCCGCCCGCCTGGTTGCTCGGGACCTATTAAGCGGGATGGGGAGCATGCCATGCTTTCAGGGGCTGTCGGTTCGGGGGGCCCGGGCTAGGAGAGAAAGGCAGATGGCGCCTCCGCCATGCGGCGGGCAGTCGCCAGTACTGCATGAAAAGCCACATTTGCGTTGCTGCATCTGGTTGAAAGCCGCCCCTGTGCCTACACCCTCATGCACACTCGTCATCACCACCCTCTCGCGATGCAGGATGGCAGGGTCGAGCGCCGGCAAGAGCGTGGGGCCGGGCGACGTGATGCGGGCGCTCACCCGCCACAGCTTCAGCCTGCGCGCCGTGCTGGCTGAGCTGATCGGCATGACGCTGTTTGGTGAGTGTACAGGGGAGCGCAGCGGGCCCGTAGTGATGCAGAGGCAGCTGTGCGGCAACGAAACCCATCCCAGGTGCCTTCCTCCCTGGCGCAGTCTACACGGGCTGCGCAACGGCAGTGTTCTTTTCCTCCACCCGCGTCTCCACCTTTGCAGCCGATTCCGCCTCAGACCAGAATGCGACGAGCACCTTCACAGCCCTGAATGCCGCCAGCCTCATCACAAAGGCCATAGACACGCAAACACAGCTGCTGACAGGTGTGATCGAGCAGTATGCATTAAACGGCTCCATTCCCACTGCTTCAGCAGGACATCGCATGCTTTCCAGCGCTGATGCCTGTGCTCCTCGCTCTCCTGCCGTGCCATGCAGTGAATGCAAGCTGGGGCATCATCACAGCCATGTTACCCTGTGTTACAGTCACCCCGCTATGATAGGCCGCGTGAGCAGACCTTGGGCAGGGGGCACACGTGATCAAGGGGCATCAAGAGAGGGGGTGGACCATGGAGCACCCTCTCCATGGCTCCGACCACCCTCCCCCCAGCTGAGCGTCCCAGGGTCACCCCACCCTGGCCCCGCTCCCCGTCCTGCCGGACACGCAACCCCCACAACGTGGTGGGGGACGTGGGGATCCTTAGCAGCTTAGGCCTGCCAGGCCGACGGGTGCCGATGCTGGTGCGGGCTCCCGGCGGCAGGCAGCGCCGCCGCCGGGCACTCAAATGGCATGGGGCACATGGGCCCCCATGCCCGCACATCTCCCAGGCACATGAAAATACCAGAAGGCTGCACATGGCCTTCGGTGAGCAGCACTGAGCCATGATATTGCGGTCAACGGCTGTGCACGCTGCGTGCCTCTCCAGCCGCAATGCCTCCCAGACCGCCTTCTTGCTGCCGGCCAGCTGGACCTAAAGAGCCACCTCTGACTGGCCTGCTGCTCACTGCTGCAGGCATGTCCATCATGGCTCTTGCGTATGGCATCGGGCATGTCAGCGGGTGCCACCTGAATGCCGCCGTCACCATTTCCCTCCTGCTGTCTGGCAACTGCTGCCTCCTCCAGGTGGGCAGGAGCGCTGCCACAACGTTAACGTGGTGCCTTTGTTCTGCCAGACTGTCAGCCTGAACTCGTTCCCATCTCCACAGCTGCCAAGCGCATCGCTCGAATCGCTGCTGCGCTGTGCCCGCCGCAGGGCATCGCCAACATCTGCGCCCAGCTCAGTGGCTCCCTGCTGGCTGCTGGCTTCCTGTACGGCACCGTCCCCGACCCCACAGTGTCCTCCCTGGGCTCAAATGCATGTGCGTGGCCGGTGTTGTGGGGAGAGAATGCTGCTCTCCTGCAAACGCAGTGAGCATGCAGCGTTCAACCCCCAATCGCCCGATTGTCTGGTACTGCCTGCAGTGTCCCCCGGCTTCACCAAAGGCCAGGCCCTGCTGGGAGAGATGGTGATGACCTGCTTCCTCTGCTACGTGGGTGAGTGGATGCAGCTTTAGCAGCACCGCAGGATGGCCCACCAGTAGTGCCTGGGCCGACCTACCGCTGCCAGTAACTTCTGCACACTTGCTGCCACCTGCCTGCCCCCCCCCCTCCCACACACACAGTGCACATGACCGCTGTGGACGTCCGCTCTGTGGCACAGAAAGGACTGGCGCCACTTGCAATTGGCATGACAGTCTTCCTCGGACATGCCGTGCTGCTGGCTGTGTGAGTAGGAGCAATGGGTATGGCATCACGTGGCGGCCCTGCCAGGTGGGCAGTGATGCATCGGTGCTGACCCCCATTTCTCTCTCTTCTTATGCCTGTGCAGTGACGGCTGCAGCATCAACCCGACACGCTCATTTGGCCCTGCTGCCATCAGTGGGACGTGGGACAACTTTTGGATCTTTGTGGTTGGGCCCATCGTGGGAGCCATGTTCTCAGGTGACCCAACAAGTGGCATGAAACCGCGCGTGATGTCCCAATTTTACAGCAGCAATGGTGCACCGCCACGTGGCGGCCTCGTTACCTGTGCCTTCCCAGCTGCTAGCCACCCCGGCTCAAGCTGTGCTGGACCCTGCTGCCCTGCCCTGCAGTCGTGCTCTGGTGGCTATCCACCCAGCCTGCGCTGAGCCGCTTCGACTACAATGTGGGGGAAAAGGGAGAGGCGCCAGCAGAGGTGGGCGCCGGCCGCCCCATCCCCTCCGCCAGGCTTGCCGAGGTTCACAACAACAGCGATGGATTTGACTCCCCGAGCAAGGGGGAATTGGCTGCCGAGGTGTGAGCACGGCTGGCAGGCTGCACACAACAGTTCTGTAAGCGCGGCGTCAATGAGGAGTGAGCTGACGGAAACCTTGCCCAGCCATGACTTGACCGCCCATCACTGACAATCCAACATTTTGAACTTTTACGCTCCCTGTTATGTTCCCAAGAATGGTTTCCTCTCCCTCAAGTGTTGACGGGGCGGCGGCGGCCGTCCTCGCTGGCGCCACCAGATGATGAGAGCGCCTCATGCATTCCGCCACCTTGCTGCTGCTACCTCTTCACGGAGACACCGGGAGGCTCGAGGACTGCACGCTGCGCTGGGCTGTGGGGCGCCAAGCTCACCACCATGCGTCCGTGCACCACCGCAACTTGCAGCGGCCTCGTGCCCAGCACGTCGGGGCGGCAACAACAAACGCCGTGGGTGGTGCCCTGCCGCCTCATGCGGCCTCACCAGCAGCAGCAGTTCCTCCCGCAGAGCCTGCAGCCAGTGCAGCGGCGGCGAGTGCAGGCAGCGGTGAGCAATGTAGCAGCCCCGCAAACGCCGCAGACCTACGGGAAGGGGAAGGTCGTCAAGGTGAGGCCCGCCGCCGCCACCGCTTGCTGCCAGCCCGTGGGGCTGCCTTGCGACGCCTCTAAAGCTTGCGGAAGGAGCTTGCATCTTCGCTCCAGGCTCTGTGAGCTGCCAGCGTATCAGCCACCCCACCCCAGCCATCGCGGCAGCAACAGAGCGCGCAGCGCGCTCGTCGCAAACCCCAGCCGCGTGCCGCCGCCTGCCCGCAGGTGGCCCCCGACCGCGTGCGCAACTTCTCCATCATCGCGCACATCGACCACGGCAAGTCCACGCTGGCGGACCAGCTGCTGATCAAGACAGACACGGTGGAGAACCGAGACATGCAGGCATGCCTCCTTGCATGCCCCTCCTGCGCACTCCCATGGATGACCACACAGAGCCACGCCTTGCAACTGCCCGCAGTGCAGCCAGGGCCGGGGCACCCCTGCAGCCTGCACGCGCACGCGGGG